CCATCATTTCACCATTGTGGCTTCATTCCTTCAGGACATGGAGGCATCTTAATCATGCAACTTTATTACCAGAGCTGGAATTGAACTTACTCCTTTGAGTTTCCGTGTAGGGGTTTCCTTCACTTTGATTCTGTGCTTTACCCAACAGCCCTTGAGAACAAGCATGACTTCATAGGAGCCAGGACAAAGTCTCAGGGTTAGTGACAGGGAATTGACAAAGCAGTTGAGTAGGTTCCATACTACTTGCAGGTAGAACTTCTTCTGTCCTCACTTTTGGGGGCTGAAGAACCCCATTTTTATTTGATTGAGTGTATGACATTCTTTCTGGAGGTACTCAATGATTTGTTTTTCAAGTGGAAGGCAGTTCAGTTTAGCATGAAGAATTGTGATCTTTTAGGACATGCCAAAACAAAGGCTAAGAAAAAAAAATGTGAAGCCAGCACTGAGGTAGCCAGAAAAAGCAACTACATTTCCTATTAACATAATTACATTGAACTTTCTCTATCATTGACTATCAAATTAGCAGTGAGCCAGTGACTAGAAGTGAAAAACAAAGAACTTAAAACATGGCAGTTAGTAGGGTAGACCAGCTATCCTTAGCAGTCTCTAAGGGCTTTCCTGGACATGGGACTTTTGGTGCTAAAAATGAGACAGTCTCAGGCAAATTACAATGATTGGCCAACCTAGCTAAGAAGCTATCTAAATAAACACTGAGATGTTCTGCACCTGGGCTGGTCTCATCATTCAAAAGATTTTCTAACAGAAAACATTATCCAGTATCATTGTGTAGAAACATGATCCGAAGCAAGGCAAAGATCTGGCTGGCAATATAAATATACCTTTATTTTCTAGCTTCAGGTCCTGAGTGTGATTAAGCCTGGACAAAAGCAATGGGAACAGAGGTCATGCTGAGTACAATTGAATGCATGGAGGCATGGGGGTGTGGACCAAACCCAAATCAGGGTGTGACCTTCACCCCAGACAAATCAGGTCTACATACCTTATCTACAGTTTAAGAGAGACTTCCATCTCCTTTCTCCCAGAACACCTTTCTCTCCCTTCCACAACTGCAGAACAACAAAAAACCTATTTATATTTCAAGGATCTTTTGAAATTCCATTTCTTTAGAAAAGGCATTCCTGACCATCTCCTTCTTTAAGCTCTCACAAAGCTAATTTTCTTCTTTTGGTGTTTGTCTGCTGGTTGTATCTATAACTGATTTTTCAATGTCTTATCGTCTTAACTGGATTGTAAAGGATGGGCTGAAGCAGGATTATTATTTCTTTTTAAAATTTTTCCTTTGCCCTTTTTCATAGTGTCTCATCCAGAATAGGCTTTTTGTTAGTCTAAATCAGTGCTGTTCAATAGAAATATAAGGTGAGCTACATTTGCAACAGTCACATTGAAAAAAGTACAAATCAATAAATAAAATTATTTCTAGTCCTTTCTAATAGTACTTAGCTTGATATGTTAAAACATTTTTTTCAACATATAATCAATGTGAAAAATTATTGTGTTATTTTTACATGGTTTTGATCAAACTAAACCTTTGAAATCCAGTATGTATTTTGCACTTCAACATACCTGGATTTGGACCAGCCATACATCATGTGCTCGAGAGCCAAATGTGGCTAGTGGCTACCATATTGATGGCACAGGTCTAAATGATAAGTTGAATGAAGAAAACATACCAAAGTGGATGACAGATATTTCTTATGATTTAAGGAATTTAGTTGGATTCTATAATCAATGAGAAGATATCATGAGTTTTTGTGAAGATTGCAATAACTATGCTAATATAGCAATAGTAGAGATTAGGATGATGAATTCATAGAGGTCAAGCAAAAGGGTTATTTCTGTGGTAAAGAATAAATGGAGGGATAGTAGCAGAGCTTTGTGATTTGTGGAACATGAATAAGTAAAGACAAAGGAGAATCATAAAAGGATAACTGTAAACAATAACTTTAAGTTCCCAGAGAATAATTAAGAAAGAGAATAATAAGTAAGAAAAATATAGGAATAAAGTAGTCTGGGAAAGAAATGAATTTGTTTTTCCAACCTTCTAGTTTTGGGCAAGTTTATCTCAACAGAGAAATAATTTGGAGCAAAGATGAGAGATGAGGCCTGGCAAAATAGCTTTAGAAGTTGACACCATGAAGCTGGTTGAGCCCCCAAAATGGGTAACAATTAAGAGTATGAAGGTTGATGGCAGTAAGAATGAAGAATTTAATGTTAAGAAAGCAGAATTTAATGGATAGCAAGCAGAAAAGAAAGTTATCAGGATGGTAAGAGAACATGGAAGCCAAGGGGTGGGGGAAAGTGAGAAGGGAAGTAATTTTAAGAAGGAAAAGAGAAAACAGGAGAGAATATGCAATATGTTAGAACTGAGAAAGGTCCATTGGACATGGTTAGGAAGAGCTCCCTGGAGTAATGAAGACCTTTGTCAAGGCTAAAGGAGAAACGAAGATTTACATTAGATTAGCTTCTTCCTAAAACTCCAGTTTTTAGTCCTTGCAGTCACAGTCTAACTGAAGATGTCTGGAGTGAGAAAACTGTCTTTTTCCAGCAGATACAGTCCCAGCAGGAATCCTGGCAGAAGGAAACAGGGACCAGCACAAGGCGGGTGGAGCCCTGGGTGATTCTTGATTAATGGCCAAGGTAAAGAAAACTCAGCAAGAAGCCAAGTGACAGGATGCAGGAAATTTTGTAGGGAAAGCAGTGTGGGACTGAAAAACATTACGAAACCATTATTTTGTCTTAGTTAAAAGAGAAGCAGAAAAAAATGAATTTAAATGGTAACTTGCCATCACAAGGACTTCTTGTACTTTTTTTTTCCCAACTGTTTTATCACTATTTCACTGCTTACCTTAAGGGATGGGCAAATGTGGATTGTACTCAATGGAAAATTGTCTTTAAATTTTTACACATTTTTGAAAGGGGAGTGTAACACAGCAGTGGCCTAAAAGCCAGCTCTCCAAACTATAGTGGCCTAACTCTGGTCCAATCCTTTTATTCTTTCAATCCCTATTCTATTATAGCAAGCATCGGTATCCTGGGTCTAACCATTTGAAAAAAAGTTGGGGAATTTCAGCTTGTCATTACTAAACTAGCTTGAAGATAGTAAAGTCACAAATTAGAAATAGCAAGAATCAACTCATTCAGTCTTGATAAGGTAAATCCTTCATTTGTGCACCTGAGATTTATTTTGGGTTGTATTTGGCAAGTATGGAAGAACAGGGTGTGGAATTTATTCAGCTACAAAAGTCCCTTGAAATTCCCCCAAATTTCATAAACCTTAGGAGTTCAGACACACACAAATGTTTCCAAAATCTTCAGAAAATGGCAACTAGGTTATTCCTGAGAATGGTTGTTGGATTTTGTCATTTGTAAGGCAGAAGCTTAACAGATGACAGTGAAAAGGGTTAACCTGTTTCAACCATTTTATTACTAAAAATTCTATTTTACTTTTTCTTGTCTCTCATAGTTCATCTTAGATACTCATTCTAGATCTGTGAACATCTTATTCTTTCTATAGCCACACACATTTTAAAAGTTGAGAAATAAAGGTGCAGTGCAAGATTCAGGGTTAATCAATAATTAACAGGAAATGGAATATATTAAGTCAAAGACTACTGTGTCAAAATACTCAACAATCTTGTTAGAAAGGACTTGTTCATTTTTTGCTTAGAGAGGAAATAGATTTTTATTAGCCACACATGGACACAGTGAATTCTTCTCTCAGGAAATACCAAAATCAGATAGGCAGATTAAATTAAAAGATTAATATTCTGATAAAATGAGCAGTTTCTAAATGTCAAATAGATTTGCTTATCCCAGATCACTCTCCTGCAACCTAACCACAGATTCAACATAGTTTTGAACCCAGAGTACTTAAATAAAATAACGAGATGAATAATGTCTTAAGTTTTAAAATAGAAATCTCTGATTTTTTTTGAAAATTTTTAGATTAGTGCCCTTGATCTTAGAAATTAATTGAAAGATCTTGAGTCTTCACTCCTTTGTGTAATGCCTCCTTGCTGTGGGATTAAGTTGGAGTAGGGATTTGGTGTTAAGTGTTCATTTCATTCAAAGTCATTAATGATAATTTGCACACAGAATCTGCTTTACACTGTAAAAAGTTTACATTGACAGTTTTTATTACTTAGGACATTTACTCTAACCAATAATTTCCATGTAATCACAGTGCTATGTAGATCTGGAATTCCTTAAATGGGGTCCATGGTCGCTTCCTGGGGTACATAAACTCTAAAGATAGTAATTGTGATTTTGAGCATGTACCATTTTCTGGAGGGAAGCACCCCACCACTTAATTAGATTCTCCTGGGAAAACAAGCCTTAAAGAAAGACAGTTTAGAGCATCACTTTTAAAATGTGCTGAATCAGTATGAATCTGGCAGTTTGCTAAAGTTACTAGTTAGTTGAATAGAGACATTTACCACAATATTTAGCAAAGTAAAGTAGACCTTTCTGCCCAGCAAAAATAATAATACATGCTTATTGTTCAACTCAGTGCCCGTGTTTTGCTTCATTTTGGATTAAATTTAACAGAGTTTCACATTGTGACTTTAATCTTATCAGGGACTCCTAAAGTAAACAATAGCACAGTATGAGAATCCTTGATTGTGTAACTTCTGCTCTTGCTCGCTTGGAAATAGCTAATGCCATTTTCTTATGAATCCACCCCCAAATAATCTGGAGTACCTCTACTGGAGCTTTCTAAAAAGCTCCAGTGGAGCACATTAGCTATAAACGTTTATTTTATTGGTGGAAGTAAGTACTATTTGATAAATCACACCTATTTGGGCTTCTGTTTAAGTAATTTTATTATTTTACAATTCTCAGAATGATAAGTAAGCAAGGGACCCGCCCCCCCCACAACAAACAAACAAACACTTAGAGGAATTCAGTTTAGAAGAGACTTCGGAAATGCCCCTGATATTGGATCCTTTAACCAAGGGAGAATTTTCACTCCTGCCCAGCTCCACTTCCCAGGCCGGCACCACCAGCCCAACCCCTGGCGAGTGCACAACGGTGTGCGCGCGGGCCAGGCCTGGGACCATCCCCAGGGCGCAGTCAGACACCGCCTACCCGGGAAATAGGAGGGCGGCCCTGCGGGCGGGAGGCGGGCTCCAGCGGGGGCGGCGAGCGCGGGGGAGGGAGGGAGGGAGAGGCGGTGCCGCCCCGCCCCGCGCCCCGCCCCCGGCGCGGCTACACCGAGGGGCGCCCACGTGCCCAGCCTGCCTAGTGCAGCGCAGTGGACACTTCCCTCCGCGCGGACCAGCGACGCGGCGGCCGCTCCTCCAGCCTGCTCGAGCCCGGAACCCTTGGCGCGCTCGCCCAACACCGCACCCCTTGGCGCGACCCCAGCGCAGCCCCAGTAAGTTGCCAGGTCTGCGGCGGCTCGGAGGGGCCGCAGGCAAGGGGCAGCCTGGGCGCGGGGCGGGAAGGGAGGCAGTGGGGCCGGGACGCCGAGGCTGAGTTTAGCTGCGCGCAGTGCCCGGAGGCCGCTCTCCAGCGACTTTGAGCGGATAGCCCCGGGGCTGTGGGCAGGGACTGCAGCTGAGGACCCTCGTCCTCAGGACTGCGCTTCCCGGCGCATGTCGCCTGGTGCTGTCCGGCGCCTGGTATGGAGACTCCAAGAGTGTTACTCTTGTCCTAGGGGATCTTGAGCACCCGTTTTACGGAAGGCAGTCTGAACCTTCACGCCCTGCACGCTGAAGGGTCCCAGAAGTCGCCTTCCTCTCCCTTAGGGTTCTTGGTTTAAATTTAGAACGCGGCTTGAATCTCTGGAACTCTTTCCCTATCCTGCTGATATGACAGGTAAAATGGTCCATCGTGGTGTTTGTAGTAATATTTTGACGTAAATGGATGCAGTCGTGAATGCCTTTGAGATGGGCTGTATTTTTAAACTTGTTTCATGAAGCCTTCTGCCTTGAGCTTGAAATGTCTGTATTGGTGTTTAGAGAATCACCTTAAACCTTGCACCTCAGAGCCAGGGTTCAACCAGAGAACATCCCACTTACCCTATTTCGCGTATACACCATCCATGAAGTAAGGTAATCAGATTGTGCCTTATAGTTATTTCAAAGAAAATACTCTTAACAAAAGTCACCGAGTCATATGGCTTTTGAAGTGGAAACTACCTAGGTTTCAAGAGTAAAAATGTTCATCCTATTCAAACTTTAAAATATTTGGACAAAACTGCCTAGAAGGGTCTTTGGGTGACGCATTTGGGACTGATAAAATTTACCTAGACGTTTGTACAGAAACACAAATCCTTTTCATGTGGGAATATCATCTGAATTTACTGGAATGGAGTTATTTGAAGCAAGGGCTTGGACTACAGAGTTAAGTGTATGTGGCTACTGACCGACAGTTTTTCACTGTTGCCCGAGCCAGTCTTTCAAAACTTTTCTTCCCCAACGCCCCCAACAGTAATAATAATAATAATCTCTTTAGGAAAGTGAGACATTTTGTATATTGTCTTTGTCTAGAAGATTACAGAACAATATTATTTTATTTATAATGTTAAATATTTGTTATTTATATACTTTGTGGTCTTTTGTGATATTAAATCCTCTTTTCCTAATTGCACTAAAGCTTAAAGTGAGGAAATGATCTCTTAGTGCAGAAGAACATAAGAAAATTTTTTTCTCCCTCTACTAAAAAGTTGCCAGGTGGCTACTCCAGGGTGAATCTGGGAGGCTATGTTTTATATATATAAAAAACAAGTTCCTCACTTTGTCTCCACCTTGTGCCTTGATTTTTTCCTGTCATTTACCTTAATGGCATTTTGATCTTTTAGCATATGCCTTGGAGAACAAACTAAAGCTTTGTGGTATCTGCAGAGATTCAGTTTGCAGAATCCTTGACCTCTTTAGCATGTCAGCATAGCCCTTTTGATTCCAGTCATTTTCATTGGACGTGGAGTTAAGACAGTATAAAGGAGAACAGAAGGTAGATGGGTGAGCCATGATAGCTGTGATCATTGAAAAAGTCTCATAAAACCCTGGAGTTTTTCATCATGTCTTCAAATGTATGCTTATCCCTAGAACACATCAGCCTGAAGAATTTTAAAGTTCATGCTTTTCTTCTTCCACTACCAGCATGCTCACTTCTGCAGAATGGAAGTGCCTTGTCTCTGTTGTAGGTGCTTCACCTTGCCCTTCTGTTCTCTGCTCCTCACCTCCTAGTGTAGTCATTATTCTTTCTCACTGCTGTTGTAGTCCCACATAGAACCCTCATCAGTGGCTGCTTCTTCTCTCTTCAGCTCTACTTTTTTCCCTTATAGTTTTTCTGTGGTGGGGTCTCTATTTAGGCTAGCTAATGTCTTTCCTTCTGTTTTGTGTACCTCTTTGCTCCGTGTGTGTGGTGTGTGTGTGTGTGTGTGTGTGTGTGTGTGTGTGTGTGTGTGTGTGTTCAGAGCCATCTGCTGGCTTTATTTTGGTGCACTTCAGTGACCAACTTTCAGAACAGAATCTTAAAAACACCCTCATGTTGCTGCTTGCTTCATTATTTCCCCAGGTGTGGTATGAGCTCACTGATGCTGACTTCTTATAGACTTCTTACTGAATGCCAGACATTTGGAATGAAAAGCAAAGTTTTCAGTTGAATGTGTTTCTAAATTGTTACATGTTTAGTACCGTGTGCATCATTTGAATGTTTTTCTCACACAACTGAAAAGCTCAATTAATTATAAGATTTCACTTTTGTGACACTACTTGTCCAAATGGCTTAGGAAATTTAAGTGTTTAACTTGTTCTAGACCTTTATGCAGATATTCAAAATCATATAGGTATAACCTTGAATGAAAACAAAAACTAATGAAATTGTTCTTTTCATTGTCTTCTGTTTTAGTAACCTTTTGTTTTGGTACCTAACAGTGTTACCTAACGCATGCTCACTATGACTTTATTGTTGAATAAATGCCACTCATTTCATCAGTTTGAGAAAAGATATTTTGTCTCTTTTCACATGTATTTATTCCTTCCTTGAAAATTTACTGAATTCTTCCTCCATACCTGATATTGAGTAACCTAAAAAGTAATGTGTGGCTGAAATCTTAGAGGAATTCTATAATTATTTTTGCACTTGGTAAGCTCTTCACTGATGGATTTTTTTAAGAAATGAAGTTTTTGTTTTATCATTACTGTATAAAGAAATAGCACCAGCTCTCAACAGATGACTTTAGTACTTTGTAAGCAAGTGGCAAAGGCACTCTGATACAGGAAGACAGTGCCACTGTTTCATCATCAAAAGCGTATATGGCTGTTACATTTGTTTCACTAGTAGTAACAAATTTATCCTAATTCCTCCTATACTTACTTTTACTTGTATTTCTGGCTATTGTTTTGTTTATTTATGTATTTATTTTTATTTGGGGGGCAGCATTGCGGGTTGAATTCATGGCCTTATACTTGGTAGGTATGTGCTCTACCACTTGAGCCATGCCTCCTGCCACTTTTTGCTTTATTTTTCAGATAGGGTTTCATGCTTTTGCCTAGGGCTGTCTGAAGCCAGCCATCCTCCTACCTCTGTCTCCTGCCTAGCTGAGATTGCAGGCGTGTACCACCCCACACAGCCCTGGCTATTGGTTTAGGAGAGGTGGCTCTGGAAGTAGAAATGTGGATGCCATTGACAAAGCCAGAGCAAATGGGAATTCATTTCCGTCAGCTAGACAGAACAATCATAGCATGATTCATCTATTTTGTTTTATTCTCCAACTTTGTAAACTTAACTTAGTTATTAATCTGTGAAAGCAAGCAGTGTACTATTGTTTTTCCCATGCTTATGGACTCTAACTATTTCTAAGAAGGACCTTTGCTGCTTCACTGGTGAGTATAATTAGTGTTGACTTAAGAAAAGATTAGTTAATGTGGCTTTTGTTTAAAAGGCTAGCTTTGGATATTTGGGTCATGTGTCTTCTGTTCTTATTTAGACTTTTAGTTTGGATCTGTCCTCACATACATCTGTGGTTCTCCATTCTACTGGATGTTTGTGGTTATGATATATTGTTGAAAAGCTTGGGTTTTCTTGAGAATGGACTTTATTCATCCAAGATTGGATCATCCAGCGAGAGTGTATCATGTATTCATGTATTCAATTCTATGTTATCCCTATTCCCCTGAAAAAATTAAGAAATAGAAAGAATTAAAAAGTGAAAACTATGCCTGCGCATCCTAGGAGAATAGAATCATTCTACTAGCACCTCACTTTAGAACTCAGCCTAAGGAGGAAATCAGCAACAAGGCATATGAAACAAGAACATTCCATGAACTTTCTTTCAGGAGGTTTTTTTTTTAAGTCCTATGTTATATTCACTTTTGGAATATTTGTTGAACAATACATAACAAAGAATTTTTATGTCCCTTGTTGATTGTTACTAGTTCCCTTCTTGTAGTGACCTAGTGATCATAGGCTATAGAGTTTAATGTCACCAGAGATGAACAATACTGCAATCAGTATTTTTGCTTTATACTAATACTTTTGCTTTATTCTAATACTCTTGCTTTATACAATACTTTTGCCTACTTTTTTGGAGGAAAGGGGATCGTATTTAAGATAATTGGATCTGTTCACTTAAAAACGGAAGTTTGTCTCTTCAGAAAATCAGGTGTAAAGTTCACTTTTTATTCATTTTATTTCTGTGTGCACAAGAAAATAGTGTGAGCTGATACGTTGAGCATAGTTAGGAGATAAAGACTGCTTGGTAAGGGTCTTTCCTTTGGCTGTTATATATAGCTTTTATCTTGGTAAATATGATAACAATAGTATTAATCACTTGCGGAAGTAACAGTTATTTTACATTGAACCAAAAAGAAAAATAGGGTCTTTCCAATTTTAGCATTATTTGTTTCCTTCCTTAATAAGAACTTGGGGTAGATTTTTTTGAATAAAGTATAGTGTCTTATTTTTTAAAAAGAAAAATCACACAAAACTTTCTAGAACTTGAAATATATCTGAGTGGTGAGAGTGGGAATTCATTTAAGTATGAAGCATGTGGTTATAGTCCTCCTGCCCACCATTCATGCTGCCTGGTTTCTATAAGAAACTATGCATCTAGCAGTATGATTTTTATGAAACTAATGTGTGTAATTTACCACTACTGCCTTGCAAATTTTGTAGCATTTAGTAATTAATTGTATGTACACCTAAATTACTGAGTGCAATTTTGGTACATCAAGATTCCCTTGGACCAGGATATAAATCTTTGTAACTTTGATTCCAACAGTATCCTGTTTGGAATTTTCTGTCATCAGAGGCATTATCCATTGTGAGCAGGCACATGTTGTATGTCACTATGACCCAGAGGAACTAGAGTATGCAGAGAAGCAAAGAATAAGTAACTTGGTCCCTGTCCTCTGTATTGACATCTAG